AGATTAAAAACATAAATATACAATATCATAGTTAAAATTAATTAAAATCATTAAATCATTTTGGCCAAATTTTAAAACCCAATAATAAAACCCAATTTAAAATCATTCAGTTAGACAGCCCCGCCTGTCAGAACAGTAGGGTCTTGAGGGCACAGCGAAAGACCCGGAGGTCAGAGATGTTACGAATATCCGGGAGCAATTCATTCCAAAGGGCAGGAGCTCCGACAGAGAAGGCTCTCCTGCTGGGTATCGCCAGCCGACATAACTTGGCCGATGGTACCCTGAGGAGTCCCTCTCTGTGAGAGCGGACTGGTCGGTGGGAGGCTACTGGTGGCAGAAGGCGGTCCCGTAAATATCCTGGTCCTATGCCATGGAGCGCTTTAAAGGTGGTGACCAACACCTTGAATCGCATCCGGAAGACCACTGGGAGCCAGTGCAGCTCGCGCAGGAGAGGTGTTACATGGGCGTAATGAGGCGTGCCCATAACCACCCGCGCGGCCGCATTCTGGACCAGTTGGAGCCTCCGAGTGCTCTTCAAGGGGAGCCCCATGTAGAGAGCATTACAATAGTCCAGACGGGAGGTGATGAGGGCGTGAGTGACCGTGAGCAAGGCTTCCCAGTCCAGAAAGGGACGCAACTGGCGGATCAGGCAAACCTGATAAAAAGCCCCCCTGGCTACGGCTGTCATATGCTCTTCTAAAGACAGCCGTGAGTCCAGGAGGATACCCAGATTGCGAGCCCTCTCTGTGTGGGGCAAAGATTCACCCCCAATAGTCAGCGATGGCACCAGCTGACTATACCGGGATGCCGGAAGCCACAACCACTCAGTCTTGGAAGGGTTGAGCTTGAGCCTATTTCTCCCCATCCAGACCCGCATGGCCTCCAGCAGCGGGACATCACATCAAGGGCATCATTGGGGTGGTTTGGGGTGGAGATGTACAGCTGGGTGTCATCAGCGTACTGATGGACTCTCACCCCAAAACCACAGATGATCTCACCCAGCGGCTTCACATAAATGTTGAACAGAAGGGGCGAGAGGACTGACCCTTGCGGCACCCCCAAGCGAGGCGCCTTGAGGTCGACCTCTGCCCCCCTGCCAACACAAACTGCGAACAGTCGGAGAGGTAGGAGGAGAACCACCGTAACACGGTGCCTCCAATTCCTAACCCCCTCAACTGCTGCAGCATGATACCATGGTCGATGGTATCAAAAGCCGCTGAGAGATCTAATAGGACCAGAACAGAGGAGCAACCTCTGTCCCGAGCCCTCCAGAGATCATCAACCAATGCAACCAATGCCGTTTCTGTGCTGTACCCCCGCCTGAAGCCTGACTGGTACGGGTCCAGATAGACAGCTTCCTCCAGGTACTGGGGTAGCTGTCGTGCCACCACACTCTCGACAACCTTCACCACAAAGCGAAGGTTGGAGACCGGACGATAATTTGCTAATACAGCCGGGTCCAGGGATGGCTTCTTGAGGAGGGGCCTCACCACCGCCTCTTTCAAGGCGGTGGGAATGGCACCCTCACTCAATGAAGCATTTATAATCCCCTGGAGCCAGCCTCGTGTAACCTCCCGGGAGGCCAGTACCAACCAGAAGGGACACGGATCCAATAAACATGTGACAGCACTAAGCCCACCCAGAATCCTGTCCAAGTCCTTGGGAGCCACAGGGTCAAACTCTTCCCAGATAATATTCTCAAGACTCACCCCCATCTCCCTCCCTGGACTCACCCAATCAGAGTCCAAGCCTTCCCGAATCTGAGTGACTTTATCATGCAGGAATTGCACAAAATCCTCAGCTCAACCCTGCAAGGGATCTTCCCGCACTTCCACCTGAAGGAGGGTCACCCTAAACAGAGCGGCTGGGCGGTTCTCAGCAGATGCGATAAGAGCGGAAAAATAGTTAGATTTTGCCGTTTATCGCCACTAGGTAGATCTTGATATAAGACCTCACCTGTGTCCGGTCAGATTTGGATTGATTAGTCCTCCAAACACTTTCTAGGCATCTTTTCCGACGCTTCATCTCTCAGCCCCTCGGAGAACCAAGGAGCCAATTGAGATCGGCATCGGGTCAGAGGCCGCAAAGGCACAACGCGGTCCAAAGCCCCTGTGGCCGCACTATCCCAAGTGGCCACCAGGTCTTCAGTCAAGTCATGTGCCAGAGTCTCAGGAAACAGCCCAAGCTCCATCTGGAACCTTTCGGGATCCATCAGGCGCCTGGGACGGAACCATCTAGTCGGTTCCGTCTCCCTGCGGCGGGGGGAAGCGGCTTGAAAGTCTAAGCAAAGGAGCGAATATCTGTCCATGACAAGGGTTTAATGTCTATGTCCCCTCTACCAAGATCATTCAGCCACTGACCAGAGATAAAAATCAAGTCCAGAGTGTGTCCCCCTGTGTGAGTGGGGCCTTGCACTAACTGGGTCAGGTCCATGGCCATCATGGAATCCATGAACTCCCGAGCCACCTCTGACGTCTCACCGACGGATGGCAGGTTGAAATCCCCCATAACAATAAGTCTGGGGGTATCAACCGCCACCCCAGCAATCACGTCAAGTAGCTCAGGCAGGGTCGCCGTGACGTGGCAGGGAGCCAGGTACGTAGTCAGCAAACCCATCTGCACCCCACAACCCCACTTCACAAAAAGGGACTCACATCCGGCTATCTGAGGAACAGTGGCCTCCCTCGGACAAAGACTTCCTCTAATAATTGCCGCTACTCCCCCACCCCTCCCCTGGGCCCTCGACTGATGAAATGCATGGAAGCCTGGAAGGCACATTTCAACGAGGGGAACCCCCCCTCCTGGCCCAACCAGGTCTCCGTAATCCCAGCCAGGTCTACAACCCCCTCCACAATAAGATCACAAATGAGGGGGGCTTTGTTAATTATCAACCTCATAACACATAACATCAGTCGAGGACCCAGGGCCTGAGACTCTGTGCAACCCAGGACACGAGCCACGCTATGGGGGCCGGAGTGCGCAATCACTCGAAGACAGCGAGTGCGCACCCCCTGAACCTGATATGGCCCCCTGCGCCTGCCATACCTGCCTCTCCCACTTATCACTTTGATGGAACTGCCCTTCCTTTCGCCCCCCGGCGCCCCGGTCAGATTACCCTCTCCCCTACTCCGCTGCGCCCATCCAACCCACCACCCTGCACAGTGGCTATATGGACCACCCCCCCAGTCCATCTCTACAGCCCCCCACCCTCCCGGGTCCCCTTAAAAGCGTCCCTGCTACCCTTTTTTAAAACCCCTCAACCCCCTCTTTTTCACATGCCCTGAATATTGTGGTGTGGTTGTATGCTCAAGAGCACAAAGGAAGTGACACCAAAAAGTGTAGATCTTCAATTTTGGCAGGTATAAAAGCCATGTTACCTCAAACCAAATATCTGGCCAATCTCATTGGTTATTTCACATGTCAGTCAAGCAAGGCATAAAGTACCCCCCTCCCAGTAAGCTTGGTTTAGAACAGTGAGAAGCCACATATGTCCTAATATCCCCACAGCCATCTCCAGCCCCATTTTCAGAGCCTCCAAGGCATCCAAGGACAGACTCTGCAAATCACATGCTTGGGAATTCAAAGCACTTCTTATCTCATTTGCTCCATCAAACACTCCTTCTAGGGAGTTTGCCCAAAATGTGAACCAAGTTTTCTCATGAGTTCTTTCCTTAGTTGATGGAACAATCAATTAATAATTAGACAGATGTGTCTGTGATGCTGAGTGAAAAAAGTATTTCCCTGGCAGAGAGAGGGTCTGGGAATCCCAGATTTTTTTGGGGTGGAGGGGAGGAGAAATCCAAGGGCATTTCCAGCACTGATATTTTAGATGATTTGTAGGTCTGGACAAATTCCCTTTAGAAGCTTACTTGATCAAGAGGAAGTTGGCGGCAGCACCAGAGCATCAGATGGCAACGCAAGCTACCATTTACATTTCTACAATAGGAGTTGTGTGGTGGCCTAGAGGTGGAGCTCTCGCCTCACAATCGGGGGGCGGGGGGAGGCTGTGAGTTAGATCCTAGGTAGTGGCAGATGTTTCTCTCTCTGGGCACAAAGAGATAATATCTGCTGCGAACTCTGCATTGGTGACAGGAAGGGCATGTGGCCAGTAAACAAACACTCAGCTCCATTCAGTTGCTCCAACTCCATCCCGATGCAAGGGATTACATGGTCATTAGAAAAAGGGAAAAAAAGAGGAGGAAATCATTTCTACAATGCTTTTGTTTGACTCTCCATTAGGGCATTGTGAGCAATTGAAATTGTGGCTCAAAATAGACTCCTGCTGGCCTGAGTCATGAGTTAGCAGTGGTCTGTACCAAGGCATTTTTGTGTCCTGGTGAATACCAAAGAACACCAAGTAGTGGTCCTGGAGGTGAAACAAGTAACTTGATTTAGTTGGAGAAAGCTGTGAGCTGATCTTGCCCCACTCTTGATCTTTGCTGGAGAGGATGAGTAATGAAGAAATTTGCAGAGAATTCTAGAAGGCTAGAAGACTTCCAGGCTGGATAGGCTTTATTTAATATTTCTTACCTATAATGAAGCATAGAATTGTCTATTTGGAAGCTAAAAGAAGACATAACAGAGCCGAGGTGGCACAGTGGTTAGAGTGCAGTACTTCAGGCTACTTCAGCTGACTGCTAGCTGCAGTTCGGCAGTTCAAATCTCACTGGCTCAAGGTTGACTCAGCCTTCCATCCTTCCAAAGTTGGTAAAATGAGGACCCAGATTGTTGGGGGCAATATGCTAACTCTATGCTAAACGTCTTAGAGAGGGCTGTAAAAGCACTATGAAGTGGTATATAAATCTAAGTGCTATTGCTATAACCCAGGAAAAGCAGGTTGGAGCAATAGAAAAAAATCCCTTCTGCTTTGCTTCCTCCCTGCTTTCCCAGACTCAGAGCTGGACACATTGAACTATCTAACTTCTAAGAAACTCAAGGGAAAAGGGAAAACATATCCTGAATATGTTTGCTGTACACATATAAACAGGAGGATTTCATACCAGGGTTGAGTTGTCCTGTCACCAAATTGTCTTGGTACCACTCCTGACGACTACTCCATGTGCTATTTTGTATATTCAGCATTCTGCTCTTCTCATACATGCCATCCACCCCCATGGAATGGGGCTGAAGATCAGAGGGACAGGAAGAAGGCTGGTGGAGTCAATAGAAGCCCCCCCCACCTGGAGGGTTGCAAGATGCAGTTGCCCACCCTGCCTTGGATAAACCTGTAAGAAGGAAGGAAGGAAGGAAGGAAGGAAGGAAGGAAGGAAGGAAGGAAGGGGAGGGAGGGAGGGAGAAACAGATGCTGGGTCATATTTTCAAACTCCGGAAGATCCATGCTTTTATCACACAGTGCATATTTGGTCACTAAGAAAATATTACTATTTTTATAGTCCTCCTTCATGTTCGCAGTGGGCCTGTAAGTAACTCTGTGAGCAAGTGAGGATTACTCTGAAGACTCAAAGCACCACTTAAGTATAAAGGTCCTGCACTGGTAAATTAGACTATTTCAGTTTAATAATACCTTACAGTATTGTGTCAATTATATGACTTCTAACAGGAGAAGCATGTGGGCTGCTCTGAACTGTTTGAAAGTCCAAATTGAAAAAGAATGGCAGAAATCAGACCTATATGAACCGACAGATTCAATTTATCTAAGCAGCTTTTGCAGTTACTTAGGAAATAATGGACCCTTTCTGATTTCGGTCTAAAGGTCATAAAGTAAAACAGTAGCATATAAATCCTCTTTCATCCACAATCAGAAGAATTAAAAAAAATATTGAATTGTAATCTTAATTATATCTTTACCACTCATTTCCCTATACTCCCTCTTTATACATGGCTACTATTTATTCTGGTTGGTATGTCTGGAGATTCTCAGTCATCCAGGTTATGACTGTCTGAAAGATGCTTTTTCAAAAGGCAGCTGGACTTGGTTTTTCTTTGGGTTTTCCTTAGTTTTCACTTCTCGTCCTTCAGTCAGAACTGAAGAAATTCTTAAATGAGAAGCAAAAGGTCTTCAAGGAAAAATAAAGTCCAAGTTGCTTTTTGAAAAAGCATCCTTAGGATGTCTAGCTGGTATGTATGTGGCCTCACACAAACAAAATTATACCCGCAATAGTTCCCTCAACCCATGAAGATCTATTTGGGGAATCTTGAAGCCCAAGTAACAGCTGTAGTTAGGTACATGAGTGGGGAATGTTGATGCTTGGTCCTTCATCCTGACAACTCCCACCCCACCCTATGCTATGCTGTGAATGGGCCAACATTCTTGCCTTTGGCAATTCTGAGTGTTAGTCAAAGCACACACAGGCACAGGTGCACGCATACACACACACACGTGCGCGCGCACGCACACACACACACACACACACACACACAGAGTTAATATTCAGTGTCTCCCCCCAGTTTCTCAAGTTCTCTGCACATTTGGAGTGGAAGTGTAGGGTGTGAAACTTCAGAAAGAAAGGAAACTGCATACATGGCTGGATAAAATTGGTGGATAAGAAAGAGCAAATAGAACAAAACTGCATATGAATGAAACGTTTGTTAATCATGAATGCAGGAGGCAAACATATATCACATAGGTATTCTGAGATCCTATTAATTTCTCCTGGGCATCCATGTTTACCTACTTAGGCATTGAATAATAACATCTGCAACAATCTTTAAAAACTCCACTGTACTGCAGCACTCTGCCATGATTTTTAAAAACTCCCCGTGTGGGTTTTTTTTTTAATTATTATTATTTCTTAATTTATATTCCTAAATCAAAAACTCTACAGGCAAATGAGAAACTAGTTTGACCTAATGTGAGAACAGAACAACAAATCTGTGTCCTAAAGCAATGCTACATTTGACAATGCCACTTTTACATACCTTTCCAGAAGGGAAACCTCTGGACACTTGGAGTGAATCTATCTTCACTACCTGAGGACAATCTCAATGTGACGTTAAATGTGTTAATTAAGAAAGGAAAGCAAATGCATAGGCTTATTAAAATAAGCTCTTGGGGGGGTGTCCAATTTTTCAAGGAGCAACATCAAATTCCTGAAACTAACTTCCTGGGGAAGGAAACAGTTTTCATGTTGAGTAATAGCAAAGATTATACCAAAGATGAATTGAGTGGATCTTCCTTCATCCTCCACCCACTAGTTATGCTACAAACTAATTGGCATAGATAGAATAGAATGGGATAAAAATAAATCATATGCATTATAAACCTGATATTAGTGAAAATCAGTTGTGATTCTGCTAACGAGGGAAAAGTAATGAATGATTAGCACTAGGAGACTCTTTTCTGAAACCACTCATTGGAAATTGCCTCCTGCAATTCAGCATATAAATTTAATAAATAAAATATTGACCGGCAGCAGATCTTTAAGGCCTTAGTATTGTCAGATATCATTTCTCCTCCAGTATTTATTTATTATATTTGTATAGCCACCCATCTCACAAGAGATTGATTTGGGGCAGCATGCAGCACTAGATTAAGATGACAATTGGGAAAATATATTCAAGTTTTTGTTTCACATTCTTTTGCTCAACTGGAAAAAAAGCAGATGAGAGCCATCTGAAGATCTGTGCTCTTAATCAGTAAGAGCTCTCTTTTTAGTTGCTCTTAACTTAAAAAAAAACCGGAACTCCAACTACAACTTCTTAAATAATATTGTAAGTTAGTCACTAGAAATCAAAGGCATTTTAATAAAATTATATATTGGAATTTTGCAGCATGCAGTTGTGAAAAAGCAGTTCAACAAAGCAGAGAAATAGCATGCCTGCCAAGTGGATATGCAAATAATTTAAACCACATCTTTAAAAAAAAGACAAAAGAAATCAGATTAACAAAAAGAGGAACATACATGAATAAGGGACCTTCAATTTTAGCACAATAGTGTGCTCGCTAGCCTTGTAAGAAAATGAAAAACCGCAATCTTTGTCCTATTATGAAATATGCTCTACTTCCAAATATCTCAAACAGAATTTTTAAAATGGAAACCATAAATTTTGCAGCACCACGACAAGTAATTTAAATTTCATTATACTGCAAAACTACAAAAATCATGTAAGATCTTTAATTAATTATAAAAACTGTTATTAAAATGTCTTTGGTATCAAACAATGTCCTCTTCTTATTGGCATACAATGTATATGGAGTGCAAAAAATCTGCACAATCATTAGATGGTAAGCAATGATGTTAGCATTAGATGTTAGCATTTTCTAAACTGCTTTTCTGCCACCTAACGATTAACCAAATGTTGGAGTCCAGGTTTGTTATGCTTAGCCTTATATACAACAGCAGCAGTGGTGGGTTGCCCCCAGTTCGGACCGGTTCGCAAGAACCGGTAGTAAAACTGGTGGGAGGCCCCGCCCACAGCCCTGGATGTTGTCATCGGCAATCTGTGCATGCGCAGAAGCTTCTGTGCATGCGCAGAAGCAAGGCGTGCACAAACGAAGCGAGCACGCAAGCGCAATCCCGTTGGAAACCGGTAGTAAAGGTAAGTAGAACCCACCCCTGACAGCAGCCTTGCAAAACATCATTCCAAAGAAAAGATGCAGTGGTGGGATTCAAATAATTTAACAACCGGTTCTCTGCCCTAATGATTTCTTCCAACAGCCCGTTCACTAGCCTGCTCAGAAAGTTAACAACCGGTTCTCCCGAAGTGGTGCGAACTGGCTGAATCCCACCACTGATAAGATGCATATATTCAAATATCATTTGAAGCTGTGTCTTGCTTAATCATGGTTTTCCAAATGAACCACTAATTGACTGCTTCATTAAAATTGCTCTCCCAGAAAGCTGTTTACAAGCCATAAGTGCTTGGTATAATTTGAATAACCACTTGGTAAACCTACCAAATGATATTCTGCTTTAGGGGACTATATAAGAAGCTAAAATACAGAAGTGAGACTCCCAATCTCTGGATTTTATTCTCCCTCCCCAGAAAATAAAATTCATACATTAATCGTTTCACTTTTTGTCCATGTAGTCTGCATCTAACCACTGTTATTTCACAATATTTTAGAATACCACCACATATATCTAGCAACTTAGTTTGAAATTTAACACCGTTAATCTTTCAAACCATGTATTTTTTGCCAAATCTATTCAGCTGATGTTAATTTAAACCAGGGGTGTCAAACTCAAGGGCTGTGGACCGGATCCAGCCCGTGGGGTGCTTAGATCTGGCCTGTGGGGCCACCCTGGAAACAGTGGACTGGCCCGAGTGCTGTGCCTCTGCTAGGGAAAATGGGCTCCCAATCCCCATTTTCGGTTGGGATGGCCTCCTGCAACCCTCTGCCAGCAAAAACGGAGCTCTTTCGCTGGCAGAGGGTTGCAGGAGGCCGTCCCAGCCAAAAACAGAAGCCCATTTTGGGATTCTGGGAGCCCATTTTCCCTGGCACAGCACTCAGGCCACCACAGGCACCCCTGACCTGGCCAAGGCCCCCCCGGCCTCCCGAGGTCAGACACAACCCTGATGTGGCCCTCAATGAAATCGAGTTTGACACCCCTGCTTTAAACCATTTCACTGGATGTCAAAATATCAAAATGCCTCAGTTATTGCCTATCTATGTATACCACCAGCTCAGTGGTGGGTTTCAAGATTTTTTGCTACCGGTTCTGTGGGTGTGGCTTGGTGGGCGTGGCTTGGTGGGTATGGCAAGGGAAGGATACTGTAAAATCTCCATTCCTGTTGAATGATGAATGTTGCTGGTTGAGGAAAAGTAATACCATGTGACTCAACCGCCTCTTAGCAGTAAACAACAGGGATTATTGTGGTTTGAGGTGGGGTGGCAGCACCATTTATGAACTGTCTCACCATGAAGTCGTAAGCAACAGGAGCAACCTATTCAGTGGTGGGTTTCAAAATTTTTTACTACCAGTTCTGTAGGTGTGGCTTGGTGGGCATGGCAGGGGGAAGATACTGCAAAATCTCCGTTCCCTCCCCACTCCAGGGGAAGGTTACTGCAAAATCCCCATTTCCTCTCGATCAGCTGGGACTCAGGAGGCACAGAATAGATGGGGGCAGAGCCAGTCAGAGGTGGTATTTACTGGTTCTCTGAACTACTCAAAATTTCCGCTACCGGTTCTCCAGAACTGGTCAAAACCTGCTGAAACCCACCTCTGCACCAGCTGCCAGATACTTCCTTCCTTCCCTGAACTAAGAAAAGCTCAGTATATAGATTTGAAGACCCTGGAAAACATTTTGATGGCCAATAAAT